AAGGCAACAGAAAGTTTGCTACAATCTGGAGCAATTTGCCTTAAAAATACCCACAGCTCAGTATTTATGGGGTAAAATAAGACATAAGCATTAGATTTAGGATTTCAGGTTATCATTTCAAGCTGAGATTCAGATCACTGAGCAAATCAATGTGAAGGATTTTGTGCCCAGAATTCAGCAATATGCCTCAAGGGAAGGGAAAAATTCAGCACAGAAAGGTTTAAAAACTCCATTACAAAATAAAATTTGAAGTAGCTTCATTTATCTAACACAGAGAATTAAAACCATTCAACCCCCTAACCTAAAGCCCCAAAAGTTCCATGACAAACAGCCAGGGACACTGCAGTGTGACTGTGACATAAGGGTGACACAAGTTCAGCCCAACACCTTCCTCCCACCAGTGTCATCTCAGGTCTGTTACTGGCAGAGGAAAAGCTTCCAAGAGCACAGCCTGTTCCTGTGTTTGGGTAGGAGAGAACTGTACATCTAGAAGGAACTGCTTGGATGTTTACTGATTTTATAAACGTTTTCCAAATGTTTTCCAAATGTCCCAGTAACCCAAGGCATTAAAGGGCTCCTTCAGCCCAGGAGGGGTGTGAGTACCACTTCAAACAGGCCCTGAAACCACTCCAGCTCCAAGCTCCAGAGAGCTAACATGCTCAGACTATCCATTGAAAAGCAAACTATTCCCCAACACTTGATATGGAGTTGAGTTCCCCTTTCAGATACTGCTCAGTACAACAGGCAGGACTCTGTTCTATTCCATTTGGATATTGTGGCTCTGTGGCATGTTCTCAGTAGCTTTAATTTTACACAGCACAAGATACACAATGGCCAGAAATAATTAAGACTGGTTAGAAATGAGTCAGTAATAGAAATAACTGGAAATCTGACAGGGAGCTTCCCCTTCCTGAGGCTTTCCCAAAGGAGCATCCATGAAACACAACACAGGTAGTGTGAGGGTGCAGGTTTGGGAGGCAGGAGGACACAGCTGGATGGGTGGGGACAGGGAGGGTGTTGTTTCGGGGTGGGGAGGGCAGAGGCTGAGTCAACAGAGTGTGCTCAGGAGGCTCCACAGCAGCTCACAGAATCACAGAATCACAGAATCAACTGGGTTGGAAAAGACCTCCAAGATCATCAAGTCCAAACCTACTGTGGGTACCAGACCATGGCACTAAGTGCCACATCCAGTCTCAGCCTGAAAACCTCCAGGGATGGTGAATCCACCACCTCCCTGGGCAGCACATTCCAATGCCTGAGCACTCTCTCTGGAAAAAATCTCTTCCTAATATCCAACCTAACCCTCCCCTGGCAGAGCTTGAGTCTGTGCCCTCTTGTCCTGGGAGAAGAGACCAACCCCCACCTGACTCCAGCCTCCTGTCAGGGAGTTGCAGAGGGTGCTAAGGTCTCCCCTGAGCCTCCTCTTCTCCAGGCTGAACACCCCCAGCTCCCTCAGCCTCTCCTCATGGCACTTGTGCTCCAGTCCCTTCCCCAGGTCAGTGAGGAATGGGAGAGCTCAGGAACCAGCAGGAAGGGAAACAGTCAGTGCCTGCCTCCATGCAGGATAAGAACTGCAAGGTCCATTCATCACTACTTCAATCCCCTGAAGTTAAAAAGGTTTGGGCTCCTTCTTCTAATCTGCAAACCAAAAATAACTCTGTCCCCAGTCTGTAACTGGGTCATTCTCCTCTGGCTGAATGACTCCTTTGTTTAGCCAAGGCCAAGTTAATTCAGCAACATGAGCATCAACAGTAGTTGTAGATCTTTCCATGCTGAAAGAAGTATTTTGTGTTTAGAGTTTGCTCAGCATTATTGTACAGCACAGCCAAAAGGGAAACACGTCTCGGGGGAACCTGAGAGGCACCAGAGCTCAGGGAATAGCTCAGGGAACAGCTGTCCCTGGCTATTTCCTCATCCATCCACTTGAAACCGTGTGGATGAAGGTTGCACCATTGGCAACAGAGGCTGAAGAGACTCTCCATCACCCTGGGAAAGCTGAGCAAGTGCTCTGACTAAAAAGCAAAACCCACGTCCAGCTGTCACCTTGTGGCTCCTGACTAAGCACCAATCCACATATACAGAAGCATTTTCTCCTCCTCTGGCTAAACTAAAAACACCAAATAAATAAGGCTGACTATTTTGATGTCAAGCCATGTAATATTTCTGCTTCCTACCTTGTATCTGGTTCAAAGCACCTTGGGAATGGTGAAGGAGTTTGGGCATGAGTCACCTATAACCAAAGCAGTTGGATTGTTGGTGGTGAAAACGCCTGTTTGCAAAAAGGATTAATTTATCTGTCAGGGTGGAACAACCTCAGACGCAATTTGAAAAATGCATCACATCTTTTCTTCTTTTTTTTTTTTTTTGTCTGCATTGCGTAGCAAGTCAAGAGGTCCAAACTCTGTGTCTCCAACCAGGGCAGGAGGTGCCAGTCTTGTGCTTTACCTGCAGTGAGTCCCAGCTCCATTCCTGCCCTGTGAATCAGCAGGTTACACCTGCCTAAACCTCTGCTGTGACACCCAACAAAATCCTTGGGAACCTACTGGGTTTTAGGGTATGGCAGCCTGGATCCTCCTCTGCTTAGAAAAGCATTTGGAAAATCAAGAGTGCTGGATTAAAAGCCACCGAGCAGGGAAAAAGAAATGGACTTTGATACAGCAATCACAGGACATTCTTTCTCCATGACACACAGCTGCACTTCCCCCTGTGCACACACCTGCCTGGGCTTTGAGAGCCTCTCATTCACCCATCACTCTCCAGGCTGGGGCTGGAGGCGCACACTGCTGCTTCTTTTTTTGCATCCCCATAGGACGGAGCTGGCAATGTTTCCATAAAGTAAAACTTTGGGCATGTTTCCACTGAAAACACCTTTGCAGATACAGCACATGGGTTGTTTTGGCAAGTGGTAGCAATGCCCCCATTTATCCAGCCTTCCTGCCTGGCCCTGCCCTGCCAAACTTCAGCTGAGGGGCCCAGCTCAGGTGTGAGAGGCTCCTTTAGGAGGAGGTTGGGATCAGAACTCACCTGTCAAGCAGCTCCAGCAGCACCTGGCAATTACAGGAGAGAGGGGACAGGGAACAGAGGGGTTTGTTTGAGGTTTTTTTTCCAGGAGAGAGGGGAGGGGACAGGGAACAGAGGGGTTTGTTTGAAGTTTTTTTCCAGAATAAATAGACTTTGGGAGCCAGCTCCCTGCCAGGGAAGGCAAGTTCTGGCTAGGAGGACACACAAACCCACCTAGGAATATCACTGGAGGATTGGGGCAAACTGTAATTTCAGGGAGCAATAAAAACACAGTGTGCTTCAGTGAGGTCTGAATGTGCCTGGACAGGGAACAGAGGGGTTTGTTTGAAGTTTTTTTCCAGAATAAATAGACTTTGGGAGCCAGCTCCCTGCCAGGGAAGGCAAGTTCTGGCTAGGAGGACACACAAACCCACCTAGGAATATCACTGGAGGATTGGGGCAAACTGTAATTTCAGGGAGCAATAAAAACACAGTGTGCTTCAGTGAGGTCTGAATGTGCCTGGATTTACCTGGAGAGGCTCTAAAGAGGGAGGAAGGAGGCAAGAAAAAACCAAGTTCAAGCTGCTGGTGGGAGCTGAGGTATAACCATGGCCTGAAGCAAACAGCTCAGCTCTGTGTGGAGCCACAGGGTTCCTATGTGTCCTGGTGCCAGACCTGGTGCCTGAGACCAGCACCTTTGTGCAAGCATTTGTCTCAGGGGCTGGCACAAGCTCTCCAGGTTTAGCTGGTGTTAAAACACACATCAAAATTTTTCATTTCCTTGCCAAGGCTAAGTTACACAAACTGCAGGCGACAGTGCAGCAGCAGCAGCACCAAGAAAGAGCCTCAGCAACTCTACCTGTGTGGTTTATATGGTGAGAGAAGCTCAAACCCCTCAGCTCACACAGGTGACAAGAGCTGAGGAAGAGAGAACAGGTCCCCAGAAAGGAACTCTCTCCTTTCCAAAGCTGTGCCTGGAAACATGAACCCAAGAGACTTCTGTTGTTGACTTGCCCAGGAGCAATGTCTAAACCAGACTGTGAACTGTAGATTTCCCAATTCTAACTTGCTTTGCCTTAAAATTCTGGGCCATACACACGTTTCTCCTCTCCCTCTGGGTGAATGCACTTATTCATGGGAACAACAGTAACTCCACCATGCTCAGCAAAGTGTGTTCAGCTCCTAAACCACTCCAGGTCCTTCAGACTAGGACTGCCCATGCAGGCAAACCAGGATATGCAAGCAGAACAAGCCAGAGGTATTTTCCCACTGTTGCAGGCCAGGATCTAAGGCACACTCAGAGCAGAATTGCTTAGACACTTGAGCAGGATCTAAGGCACACTCAGAGCAGAAGAATTGCTTAGACACTTGTTAAATATCCAACAGAACCAGGATTTGAACTGAAAATGGGAAAACCCCCAACACCACCTCAGTGCTGGAGCTGTGAGCTCAGAGCTTGCACTGCTCAGCCACAGCCTCCAGCCAGCACAGAACTGCTCAGTGGGAGCTCTTGGGGTGAGCTCAGGTGCCTGTCCTGAATTTTTTACCTTTTAAACACCCCAATTTCTCTCCTCTCACTGAGAACAGTGTGTGTGTCATCTAGAGCTTCCCACTAGCTCTGGCCAGTGGTCTGGGACTTCCCATCCTGACCCAGGATGCTTTACTATTTGTCTGAGCTTCCAGGCAGACCCTGAGATGCATAAAACAACTCCTTCCCCATCCAGGAATGCTAAACAACATGGAATTTTTGAACTAACACACCACTCAAGACAAAAGGATCTGCTTAACATGCTGTGAGGTCTTCAAAAGACATTTGGTCCAA